CGTTCGAAACACGCCCCATAATCACAGCTCTATGGAGCAGTATCAGACTCATATTCTGACTAGAATTGAGTCGGACTACGTCAGGCTACCATATCATAACCACAGAGTAAATGTATTTGTGTGCAATCACCAATGTGATACCTCCATTTTTTTATTGACCTCACAAATGTTAGCTAAAAACAATCAACTCCAACCTGAAGATCAAAACTAGGTAGTTTTGTGTCTTTTTCTGAAATGTAAAAAGAAACAAGGTCCAACATTAACCACTTCCACATTCATTACCCAGTCTATAGTCATCTCATTTACTACAATACCCATGATGCAACTCTCTTAGCTGAAGCCATTAGATAAATATTGCTTCAACCCCACTCTCCTACTTTTAGTCTCAGAATAAAGGTACTTTGAGGTGACTTCAAACAACTGTTTTCCACAAAAAAAGTTTGATGAAACTAAGTTTATTATAACAGCATCAACGTGTCTTTTTCCACACATAACAATGAAGGTCCATCCTGGTAGATTAGCAAGTATGAGGTCAGCTGGTTAAAGATAAACTGAAATCAGCTCTGTAGAAGAACGGTGGGACAGTTATTCTGAGCAAACATAAACCTTTAAACTCAATGAACCAACAACGTGAATAGATACATTTCATTTGTAAGAAAACAACAAAACTAAATAATTATCTATAATAAATACATACTTCCACCTGTTTGTGTACCTTACAGAAAACAAGAATATTTAATGAACCGACAGACAGGAACATTAAGCTATTTAGTCCTGAGCTGCAGAGGAAAATGTTTAACCATGCAACGTACGATTCCTCTGCCTCCTCTCCCTGATGTGCTGAGGCATATCCAGTGTTGCGTGGTTATACTGGTGTCCAGTTTAAAACGGTTGTCTTGATTGCGACTCACCATTAGACCACAGTTATTAACCCTAAACAAGCAATAAAGAGTATGACCTGCAGGCGACGGGTGGCCACTGATGCTACTTCAACACACAACAGAAACAACCACAAACAAGGTGAAAGGAATGTAACAGCAAAAACAGGACTTTAAATGATCAATCAAGTGGTGATAATGATAATGAAAACCAAGAAAATGTGATGCTGAAATGTGATTTGTGCAAACACTCTGCTTTTCCTTTCTGCTAAAAATATTTTCTGAAATTCATGAAAACATTCTTCTGTCTACTTTAATGAGAACCAGCCCTGACTTCCAAAAGCTTCTCATCGTTACGCTTCATCTTGTCCTACAGAAACAAACCTGAAGAAGTTTCTAGGCTTCAGACGTATCTGCCTTGTACCTTTAAAATAAATCCCAGCTCACTGTGGTTCCATAACGCTGGGAGGCTTTTGGTCATCAAGCTGCTGGAGAAAAGGCATTTGTGGGAAACAAGAGGTTCTGACAACTTTTATCTGCAGCTCAATCCTTAATATATATTCTATTCAAAATGTATGGCTTTTTAAATCTTCAGACATATGCGCTGGGAGACAGAGGGCTGAACGGCAAGACGAGAAAGCAGCACGGACAAATAACTACATAACGATATAAGCTTCTGTACAATCAGGCACAAAAATAAACACTTTAACTCCACGCTTGATCTTCTGGTCTTTGGTACCACTGAAGAGATTAAGTTCCAGGTTCAGCTCAGAGAGCAGGACAGGTCCCAGCAGAACGTCTGGATGCTACAGGACTTGTTGTCGTCTGAACGAGTCATTTAAGGTGCAGCAGTGGATCAGACGGCTCACAGACTACAGGAAGATTCGGGATCTTCAGTTTTTCTGTCTGGCTTATTTAAGCTTCTTCCAGTTCTAACCTTTGAGCTGTGCTGATCAACACTTGTAAAAAACAACAAATCTAGTCCAGAACATAGAAAGTTTGCTAAGATTCAGGTCTGCTTTCGCTGAAAAGTCTGGCACCTATCCAGAGAAAACAAAGGAACTTATGAGGACTTTTTAAAGTGTGTTTTTCAGATCATCTTACAAGGCTCACAGTCTGGGAATCTGATATTTCCTGCTCATGTACTGATCGTATCTTTCAGCATGAAGTGCTACGGCTGCAGAGACGGCGAACCAGGCTGACTCCTTTCATTTCCTCTGATGCTTGTCTCAGCCTTTAAGAAATGATGAAGTCAGGGACAGGAAGGAGGCTGCAGACAGACAGCAGCTCAGAGCTGGAGCAGCATCCCATTTGTTGCTGGTTTCCACTAAGGAGGCACAGACTTAAAAACACAGTGGGTGCATAAAATGGTACCAAGGGGGCGGGGTCAGATTGTGACTCATGGCTGGGTGGTGGTGCGTTCTCCCACTTATGCGTGCATAAAGGGTGGTGGCCATGGGAGTCAACAGCGGCTGGCCTCGATGGGCGACAGAGTCAGGATGCTGCGATCATTGGAATAGAAGTTCTCTGTGTCGCTCCAAGACCTGAAAACAGCAGTGACTGAAGGTTAGGAGATAAATGCTAAAAGTTAGAGTGTGTGTGTGTGTTTTTGGGGGGGCTGGGGTAGAGGAGAGCTGAGCTGTCAGTAGCTATAAAGACATAAGTAAACCCAATCAATAAGGCTGGAGGAAGCAGAGCAGATGGAAGGATGGATGAGTGAGGAGTTAGTGATGGGAGGATGAGTTAGTTATGAGTACCAAATGTCCCTCATTAGCTTACACTAGAGCCATTAGCAGGTTTTATTAACATTTTTTGGCCCACTGTTAACGTCTGGAGCTTACACTACAAACAAACACATTGAATAAAACGATAAAGGCACATCTCATCTAACCTCCTCCATTTAACCACAGGCTTCAGATCACAGGGTCAGAAACTATGGAAGCTGCAGCTGGCTAAAGTTCTGGATCACAGGCGACCAACCTACACTATGCTAACCGACCCTGAACATCTGAGCTGAGCTTTTCACTTACAAAAAAACTCCTTTCTACACCTGAACTTCAACAGACCAGATATTTTACACTATTAAGTTTAATGCTTACAGATTTACGAAAACTAGAGCAGTCTAGGACTTGCTGAATAGGTTGCGCATTGTAAACAGTTTCTTATAATCTCTGAATGTCTTCATCTCTGCCCTGAAAGTTATCATGACTTTATTTCAAGCATCTTTGAAATGCAGACAACCGTTTTAAAGCCTGGTAGACAGAAAAACAAGGCCACCCAGGGATACTACCACGGTCTAGTACTGAAAAAGTGAATGGACCAGAGGTGATTTCACCCCAAACTTTAAGAGTGAGGAAAGAAAAAAAATAATACATTTCCAAAACCATAGTTTTCCTTCAGGTTAAGACAGTACTCAAAAAGCTTTAGGGAACATGACCCAAGAACAGGAAGGAAGAGAACAGGCATATTTCTGACAAGGTCAAACTCACACTGGACATCCACAGAACATGAATAATTAATCTGGGAGATTAATGCAGACTTTAGACACAAAAGGACAAAAAGACACAGGATGAGTGTGTGAGAGCGACACAGATATATACAGGAACAGTGGATACAAAAATACCAAAGACAGCCACAGCCCCCATGCAACAAGATGGCTGGAGTGTTCTTGTTTTGTAGTTCCTGTCAAACAGGGGCGAGTTTTTCTTGTTCACATCATTTACAGAAGGGGGATTCTGTTCAGCTGGAACATCAGGAATTATAAAACAAGCGCACCCTTAAGGTCAGCCTCCTCTTTGAAGCGTGTAAAAGGCTTCATGATCCAATAGAAATGAATAAGTTGAAACAGGAAGTAGGAGAAAAACAACAAAAAAGGTTGCTTTTTTTAAACTACACTTACCAGCAGCCACACTGGTGTAAGATGTGCTGAAACATGTTGATACGTCGCTCTCTAAGTGTGGAAGGTCTCAGTAAAGTTCAATGTATGGACAGAGATGGATCGTTTGCTGTATGTTGGTTACTTTAAAGCATCCTTTAGTAGTGACATTGATGTGTGCCAGGTATATATATTCAAATATATACTGAATAAATACTTTATGTATAATGCAAGTGGTAAATATTCTAGCCATATGGTCTCTTCGCTTGTGACGCATAGAATACTGGAGTGGGTGTGCAGCACCTTTTCTCCTGTGGCAGTATCCTAGCATTAAGGCCAAATGTGGGTGGATTCACTTTACTTCCTTCAGCTCCTTAAATTAATCCTTTGCTTTTCCTCAAACTGCAAAGATGATGATAGATGAAAGAAGGTATTTGGTTTGCAGAGAGAGTGTGGATTAAAGTGAGGAGACAAAACTGTGCAGCGGGATAACAGAACTGAAGATTCCATCCCGGTTCTATTTATTGACTAAATTCCGTCCATTTATAGTAAAAAACAAAAAAACTGCTGCAATCTATGTTACATTTGCTGTTTCTTCCTAAATCCTGTGGGAAGGAACAAATTGGTTGGGATTTGTCATTTGGAGGAAACCAATTGGTTACTTTGTGCCAAGGTCAGAAAACAAATCAATCATCCTCACAGGAGGCAATTTATCTCTATTGAATCATCGGTTAATGGGAAAATCTAACCCTTAGGAACTGTACTTGTTTCAGTGGACTGACCCTGGCAGCAATATAATTATGTTAAGGTGAGCCTGGATGGAGAGAAAAAGCGCCGATCATAATATAGCTGCTGCAACTTCTGGATAGCAGAGTTTGCAGGGCTTTGATTGTTCTTCATTAAACATAAGAGAATTAACAATTATTATATCAACTTCCTGCTGTGATCAGGATATATATATATATATATATATATATATATATATATATATATATATATATATGCTGTTTGGCTAACATTACCAAAACTAAAGTTTCTTTGTCTACTTCCTTCAGAATGTTGAACCCTGCTTCACCTTTTTATCTTTTCTGTACTTTATTTAGCCTTCCTGTTATCTGCTTCAGTGTTTGCTCTCTCCCTGATGAGGAAGGTGCCTCAATACAAATTAGGAAAACTCTGTAACAACGGCACAGATTTCCGACTGCGACTCTTCTTTGCTCACCAACTGTTTCCACAGTAAAGGGTGTTGCTGTTACCGTCACCGGGTATTCCTCACATAAAGTTGTATTCTGGAGTTTCTTGTATAGCTGCTCATAAGCAAGGGATGATTCAGCAATAAAATGGACTCAAATTGGTCGACAGCAGTAATCCCATACATCTCCAGCCAAGATGCCACAAAGGGATACTGCACTCCTTTTTTCCCACAGCATGTCGTCTTTCCCACAACCATTAACAGAAAAAAAACTAATTTGCTAACAAAAGACAACAATGTAACATCTTCATTACTGATCCAATCGATATTTGGTGTCCAGAGACATTTTCAGAGGTAATGAAAGCTCAGCAGAAAGTGCTGATCACCAATCAATTGCCTCAGATGGTCACTGGGATTCAGGTAAAGAGAGAAACAGAAAGTGCAAAGTGAGCAGACCTGCTAACTGTAAACTTAGCTTACAATCTTTGGAGTAAGTCCCATGAGAACTCAAGAGTCAAACTTTCTAAATGTATAATCAGATGGAGCTGCAGTATTCAGGAATCGTTCTCATCTGCTGCGAATAGACATCATGCTACATTTCTAGATAAGGGTCATTCCTAAGTATAGTTTGGAGCTCCAAAATGCAATAATACCCAGTAAAGCTTAACAATAATAATAATAAAAACAGTCTATTTATACTTCTTTAAGTAGCTAAAAATAAAAGAGTTTATTGTCAATAAACATTTAATATGTGGATAATTTATGATGCCAACCAACCAATATGTTGACCCGTTGCAAAATGAGGTTCTGCTACAGATGCAGTGTTGGTCTAAGCCAACCAGTGAATGAAGTAGTTTTGTTCGATATTAAAGTGCATAAACTATTTTCTCTAAAAAATCCCACTCCCCATCTGGACATCATACTTTGAGCTTAAGGAGGAACTCTATAAGAACAGAAGACGATCAGGACAGACAACACCACAGGTCATAGCACATGATAAGGACAGACATATGGCAGATACATTTGCAGTAGGCATGGGTTTTGTGGACTGGACAGTGCCCAGCTGAATGCGTAACATCAGAAGAACAATGAACTGCACTTCATCCAAACACTGTGGCCCAAAGTGTCCAACACCGTGTTGACAGCACAACCATCATGCTCTATATTTTTGGTTTCAGTGCCTTTCTGGATGCACGCTCCGATTGGATGAGGCTAAGTAGATCTACGTTGGTAATAATGCCAGAATATCATAGAAATAAAAAGCTAACAGAGGACGTCTAGAAGTGCTTGATCCACTCATCATCCATCTCCAACTTTTTAAGGTGTTTATCTACACCCCTAAAACCAGCCTTGAACCATCTGTAACTCTGCTTCCACACAGCTGTGTTTTACCTGCCGCCAATTTGAACAGGTAGAGACTCGCGGGGAAATCATGGGCTAAAACATTCAGAACTGCAGCCCAGATCAAAAGGGTTCATCGGAATTCATTATAATGGTTCCTCGTCGCCGTTGCAGTCCTCCCCACCTGTTGCTGCGGCTGGATGAGTGGCAATTGTTGACGCTGGCCTTGCATTGTCCCGTCATTTGTTCCAGGAGGAGGGCCAGGCGGGAACAGCCGCTTTGCCCATGCTGGTAGCAGCACAGGGACTCCAGACAGCTGAGGGCCTGGGCCTGGTGGGCTGGTAGAGACTAGAGGAGAGCAGAGATAGGGTGAGCGCAGAAGAACCAGAGACGGTGGTTAGATGAGATATGGGAATAACTGGAAGCATGGGTTAGTAAATATATAAAATGAGGAGGGGAAAATGTAGCAGAGGAGATTGGTGGAAAAAAACAAAAGAAGAACAGGAAAGTAATACAGTCTAACTGTCATTTCATCCATTCTATCATCCACTGGCTGGACAATAGGAGTGACTGGATATGGATGAACTGCATGCTGACCATAAATAACAGGAAAACACACAGAACATGCAACAGAGGAGACCAAAATAAACACACAAAACATTACACAAAAAAAGAAATCTGAATAAAACCTACAAAGCTTTGCTTTAAAAATATTTTAGAGATTTTTGCTTTCAGAATGTATTAGTGACTCTCCTCATCAGGTTAATGAAACAGCTATTTCTACAGTTTAACTTTCATGACAAACGATGAAGGGTTTTTACAGTTAATCCTACACAGGAACATCTTATTTAGAGACAGTATACATTCAGAAATATATTTTATTTAGTAATCTAATTCAGAAATGTGTTATACTTAAGATTTATTATTATACAGAGAGGGACATTTTTATATGTTTATTTCTGATCATTTTGATACCTAAGGACCAAAGCTAAATAAAACTCCTCAATTTATCAGAGAATTAAATATATTTACCAAATGAGAACTTCTATCAGACAATGTTAATATGCAGTATGTTGTACACATCCCAGGGGAAGGCTGTTTTAGTGTTAGTCTTCTCTAGCGGTGGGCTATGCCACAAAAAGCCACTGATAAAGAGGCCGGGTGTTGACAGTGTGCTGTATCCAAGCACATTGTGTTATACAGCACAATTTGAACAAAAAAAAGCATGACGTTGGAAAATTGATTAAAGGGAAAACTGCATTAAAAAATGCTGCGCAGGCATCAGAGATAGCTGCAGCCTTGAAACCATTGGGAAGCCAAGCCCCTTTGTGAGTTTAAAGGACAAGGTGTGGACTGCAGGTGAAGTTGGTGCCTCAATAGCACAACACACAGATGTATCTACGACATGAGCTACGACTATCAAACTCATCTGAGGTTCCCTCCTTTTGCCAACAGGAATGCACCTCTGCTCAAAAGTCTAAAGTCATCTTTTCAAAGCAATATAAGCTCTGTACATGATGCCAAGTTCTGGCTCTGCCATAAGTACCCATATCTGGTTAAATGACAATGCCTTTACTGGCCAGGAAAACCCAAATCCAATAAAGACTCAATGGTGCTAATCATCCAGAGGAAGATCGGAGACATCTCAGCCAACAACGCAGCCAAGCGGGCAGATGGTGTTAAACCAACCTGGGTTTTCAGCACCAAAACACAGGCGGAATTAAAACAGACAAAACCAAGTTTTAAGTAATATTTCTAAATGGAACTTTAAGACTAACTAAACATGTTGTTTTCATTAGACATATACTTTTGTGTGTTACTATATTTTACAGAAAAAAGGTAGTCATGGTTTTTGTACTGGCCTACAGAAGAAAATGAAAGCTTTTAACAATCTTCTATTTTATGAATATGCACCTGTAAGAAGTAGATTTTGGTTTAGATAACACAAAAAAGAAAATATAAAAACTCTTGATTTTAGGCAGTACAAAGGCTACAGTCCTTTGCCCATATGGCCATAAGTCCATGTTTTGTTTGAAATAGATTCAGCAACGAATTAGATTTATCTGTGTGCCAGTGATGCAAGGGTAAACATGGCAGAAAAGAGCTGCTGCCCAGAAACATCCGGGATCAGATGGTTCCTCTGGTCTGAGTCAGCACCCCAGAGAGAGTGTGTGATGTAGAGGAGGCAAAGCTCGGATTAGAGAGGCAAAGGGAAAGGAGTGGTGTGAGGTTACACTCCTGTTGTGTGGACTGGGCACCCTCCTTGGCTGCCCAATGAATGATTAACAGCTCAGCCACACTGGAGAATGATGGGATTTGGTAATTATTTGTTGAAATTAATGACTGCAGCGCAAAGGGGGCAAATTTGTCTCTGTTTTCTGAGTGCAACTGAAAACTAACACAAACATTACTCATTTCAATTTGACTGGAGTTTAACAATATATAGGCTCTATTTTATTTTTAAGAAAGAGTACAAAACAGTACTTGCTAAAGAGGCATCCCACCGTGCTCTGATGTTTTACTGCACCAGAAATTTGAGACGCTGTTGGCGTCAAACCAAACTTTTACTCCTTGGCTACAGACATGAAAACACACACTTCAAACTCCTTATAAATCATTCTCAAAACCAAGAGCCTTTAGGAGGAAATGCAAGGCTAGCCTCTGTAGCCTGTAACAAGGTTATAAAAGGGTTTGCTTATTTGATGAATATCCTATCCACATTATGGAGATAAAGCAGAACCACAGCAGTAAATGTTAAGTTCTAATGATTTTGTGAGATCCTGTGGGTGATAACCAATAACTGACTGAGGTTGTTTTGAACTTTATAAAGCTAAGTAGAAATCAGCATTTACAAATCTGATAAATCATTAAAGCAAGAGTCCAAAAGCCCTTTTGACAAAACCATGTTAAAAAAGAAGCCTTTCTAACAAACTTGTCGCCGTTCTAAGGAAGCCAAATAACATTCTGCCCACAGTAAACCCAAACCAACACATGAGGTTGAACAGCTGAAATCTCTGCCATAAAATGCCCAGAGGGAAATCTTTATTGAGCACATCCTCTTGGAGTTAATTTGTTGACTCAGTCCAGAAAAGAAGATATTTTGATCTTGGTAAAATATTTAATATTTTAACAGTATATAGAACCGTGCTCTATGCAAGATGACTAAAATGACAATATAAGAAATTTTAAACATAAGTTTACAGAGTAATTTTTGCCAATCTAAATCTGATTCAGTTGGAGCTCAAAGTCTATCAATAAAATATCATTTAATCAAGGTCCTGGGAACATTTCCATCCGTCTATTCCCAGCTTCTTACTTGACAAAGATGGTAGAGTGATCAGTGAGGGAACCAGATCCCATTACCCTAAAGGTGATCTAAGCTTATTCAGAGGGATCCCAAGATGGGATCCAGGCCACTAAGTCTTTAAGTACTCCAATAAGCTCTGGGACTGGATATCTACCAGTGACAAGTTCCTAGAAAACCTCTAAAGGAACCATTAAATGCCCAAACCACCTCAGCTGAATACTTTTGATGTCGAGGAGCAGCAGGCCTTCTCCTTTTTCTCCTTGGATGATGAAGCTCTGATCCATTTCTAAGGCTGAGCACAGTCACTGTACGGAGGGTGTTTGTATTCAGGATCTCATTCAGAATTTCAGAGATTTTCTTTTTTGGCTCAGTTCAGCTGCACTCAGATTAGTGCCTGTGAGACCCTGATCATTCATCAGGTCTACTACTTCTTCCAAACATCAACGACTTAAATGGCCCTGCTTGAGGCAAAGACAGAACTCTGATCCAGATGGAGCTCCCTGTTACATATTCATCCTAAACCTAAAACAGCACACAGCAAAGACTACTTCCTCTACGCAAGTTTGGCATGTTTAATAATTAGCTAATAGCTGGCCGCTGAACTTCTGGGTGGGTCTATGTGGGAGTGCTTTTTTGTTTGGTAGTGAACAATTTACAGACCGCATTGACTATTGGTCAGAGGGATTGGGATTTTCTCCAAAACACTGGTTACTGCTTGATTCTAGCAAATACTTTCACTAAGATTATCAAAATAAACAGCTAAATGCGTGCTTAAATATGGGGGACACTGCTGTAAAGTTTATGTTTTATATCAGACAATTGGAGGGAGATTCTCAGTCACAGAACATTGTTACTTTATAGGTAGAAATATTACGTAATATAGTAATTAAGAAAGGACCTTACTGTATAATATACATAATATATCCCAATAAATCTCAATAATGCAAATTTATTTTGGCTTAACTGTATTTTGAACTATAAAAAAAGGCAAAGTATAAAGGAAATAATACCCCAAAATGAAAACTGCAAAGGGATTTTTTTGGAACAAAAAAAACAAGCAAATAACGACATTTCAACAAGTTTGGCTGTTTCAGATGACTGAATGAGAATACAACAATGACAAATGAAGCAGGCATGCCAACAGCATTCTCTCAGTCTTAAACCCCTACCTGATCAATAACAGTGAGGGGTGAATTGAGACCAGGTTAGGGAAAGTCAGGCACTATCATGGTGGGGGCATGTGTGGACAGTGTCAGTCACACCTGGGCTTGGGAGCATGAGATCATTCATAGAGGTGAAGGCAAGGATGGAGTTAATTATGAGCAAGGAGAAGAGTGATTATTCATACACAAAGTGATACTGACCATCAGACACACATTATCTCTGGACAACAAATAAAATAAAGAGTGCAGTATGGGAGTAACTGCAATACAAAGCCATGGGACAGTGATCAGAGGTGTAGCTTTTAAGCAAACGCTGGGGCCTGTGCAGGTTACTGTAGGTGTGAGGGAGTGCACAGGGTTGGTTGGACCTCAGATCAAACAAGGGCAGTGACAGTACAATAGGGACAATGGCAGTGAAGAGCAATACAAATTAGGGTACTACCTAGGGGAGCATGGGTCTGTGCCGGGGGCAGCAGGGGGAGGATAAGCAGCTAGCAGGTGCCAATTGTCCTCCCCTGGGCTCCGCTGGGCTTTAACAGGGTCATATTCTGGGCCGACTGAACCCTCACCCTGCTCCATCTGAAGGACACAAGATGCTTACAGTCAGCCCTGCTGGCTTACCCACCAGTCACCTGGGTAGACTGCTGGTTAGCCAGAGACACAAACCAACTTAATAAAAAAAAATAATAATAATAATCCATGCTCGTCATTAAGTCCTCCACACAATACTCAAATATTTCACCGATTCGGTGATAGCTGCCATATCTTGTTTCTTTAAGAAATGTCTTGGAACAGAGGACGTTGTTCAACAGAACTGATAATTGCAGCATTTAGAATCAATTTAAGACTAAATATCAGAGTACAGTGGATACATAATCAATGCTGCTTATTAAGCAACAAACAAATGATTCAATATGCAGGAGGCCTGTTAATCAGTGAGCCAGTCCCGGCAGCACTTTAAATTGGCAACTGATTAGGCAAAAAAAACTTTTGGTCTTGGTGCCCTTTGCAACTTAGCAACTGAACCATCAGTTTGTTATTTCACAAGCTAAGTTAGCTTATCTGCCAACTGGTGTCTGTAAAATCATGTTAACAACACAGTTAAATAGGCGTCCTACTTAAGCCTGATAGATTATTAACCAACGCTTTATAAGAGGCAATAATTTTTTTTTTTTACATATACTTAAGGGCTTTTATTTTCCCACAACAGAGAAAATAAAAGGCGAGTGAGTAGACTGGCTGCAGGTTATGTTGATTTAGAGACAGCTGTAAAACTAAGCAACCAATGAACGAAGCTTAAGGCATTACAAAAGATTTCTCAGTGGAAGAGGCTTACGGAAAAATCTATTAGTATCTGAGCTAATTAACCTGCTGCTCTTTCAGAGCTTGAAAAAAGGCAGAGCCGTGACAACCCATGACGGCCTTCTATCTTGTATAAAATGTGAAAAATTACTGAAACTTTTTTCTACAGCAACTGAAAAACCATTGTCTGAGCCATTTTGAAATGTGTAAGAAAGCACACATCTTTTACGTGAAATTTAATTTCTTCAACAAGAGTTCATGCTACTCTGAGGAGGTTATTTTGGAAAAACTGCAAGACGGTGCAAAATGTTTGCCATTGGTCTGTAGGGACCCACAATGACAATCTGTCATGCTTCTAATAAAAGAGTATCATGCTGCTTTTCATATAAACCCAAAGAAAATTGCTCATGCAGCTTATTGAGCAATCAGTCCAGACACGTGGATCTACCCAAAACCATGCAGGTGGACGACTGAGGTAAAGACGCCATCTTATAACGTGAAATCATTCTAAAGACTAGGGGCTGAAAAAATGTGAAGAGGATCGCACCAACACATAAAGTTACCATGTGTGCTTCATGCCTCATCTTAAAAACTGAGAGGCATGCCGGGTTGGAGCTCAGATCTGATCACACATCCTGATGAAGGGCATCGTGGCTATTCTTAAGGGTTTAAGAAAAACTAATCCACATTTTGAAAAGTGCAGGAGAAAAGAATCAATATTCTGGGACATCAGGTGGGATTTCCATAAGAAGATAAAATGATGAATCTACTCATTCACTCATGCATTTGATCATGCAGTGGATGGGTTGGGGAATGGCAGGATCATGCTGTGAGGAGAACGTCTGGAGACACATTTGTGTCAGCGTTTCTACCAGGATGTAATGCATGCAGAGGCTAAAATTCTCCTTCTTCTGCAAGACCTCAAACTCATTGATATTTTCCTGAACCCAGCTACAGAGAATGCTGATTGGCTAGTTTAGAGCATGCTGTCACAGACACGTTACTCTTCCAACACAGCACGACACTAACAGCCGGTATCAAAAATGCTTGAGGACAACTGATACTAAGAATTATGAATGAGCACATATAAGAGCACTTATTCTGCAAAGCAATGTTTCTCTCTGAGAATAAAGATAATTAAAAGCGACACTTTGATTATTACAAATAAAGTAAAATATTTGAGTAAAATACCAAAAGTCCAGAGATTAAAAAGGATTTTAAAGTATTAAGACTTTATCATTAAAAAGTAATACAATTGAAAATACTAATTAAAGCTGCGATATCTATCTGCCTTACAGTATTTTTAGAGTTTTAAGAATTAAACTGTTTGCTGAAAGATATAATTTATCCAGTTTCGGTTAAAAAAAGAGACAAGGTTTTGAGAAATGCAACCTAACAAGATGCAGTTAAACTTTTATATAACATCCTTAAAAGAAATATTGCATTTGCATGAAGCGCTCCTGCAGTTAGGCGTTTTCACAGATGGATTTATCTAAGATGTATGAAGTCCACGGCTCAACAGATCTCAAATCTTCTACCTAATTTTGCCCAGCTGGCTCTTGGCTCTGGACAAAGGCTGCAGAGCGATGAAGTCATCACCTATGACCACTCGGTTGGAATACATCTACACCAGGAGAGCACAAACAAAGGGTAAGATGAAGAACAAACAAACAGAGGCTAGAAATCAAACTTTTCCTCTCGCACACAGACCCATTTAAAAACACGATTTCAGACATGTTTACACACATACACACACACACACACACACACACACACACACCCTAACACACTCAAGACAAAACAGGGTGGAGGCTGAAGTAGAAACTAGAAACAGCACACAGACTGGAAAAAGTTGGCAAATTTTCTAAGAAATGAGCTGGGAATTTTTCAGACACCAGTACAGGAAGTAGAACATGAAGCATCAAGACAAACAAATCAATAGAGTAAGATAACAGAGGTGACACTGTTTGCTCATCGATTATCAAACATAACCATGATTACATTGCTGTTAAGAAGCAGGTTAGTCATGAACAAATAGGCTAATAAAAAATTAACTCTTCAACTACAGTTCTATTTACAAGCCGTGTTCATTTGGGGTAATCGGGACATTTTTCACTTCCAGGTTTGTCTTATAATATGAGAAATACAGTTGCAATATTTGTGCTATAGTAGGAAGCTAGATTATAAATATATGTAAATAAGCCAACAGAAGACAACGTAATTACCCTAAAGCTGTTTTTTTCTTCATTCTACTGTGATCTCAATCTAAATCTTTATCAAAATTTAGTGTTGAGCATATATCTGCAAAACTTTATCAATACATTTAACTGTAAAATTTTCTAACTGCCACTTTGCTTTGTAATAAAAGCTAAATATTTGCCTGCTGCTGTTGATTTTTATATGTAAACCCCAATACAAGGCAAAAAAAGGCATTATTATTTGGAATAAATACAGTAAAAATCGAATATTTGTTAATTATTGGACTTCATTACAACAACCTGTGGGTATCTAGTTGTTGGAGATTTATATTACCTGACTCTTCTGTGTGCTGGTTGGACGAAGATGTCTGTATAAGACCTTCTTCAACACGTCAGGAAAGAGGCAGGTGATGACAATAATGATGATGGCGAACCAGGCAGAACCACTGGACAGCAGTTGGACAAAGACGAAGTACATGTCCTGGGTGTGCAGGAATGGCCTGCAGAGAGTTCAAACATGGTTAAGCAAAGAGCTAACTTTTTATTAAACAGAGGCAAATCTACTCGATTGGTTATAAAACCAACAGAAAAGATCAGCAGCCATACTGGAAATTTTCCCTTTTCAGCGTTACATCAGATTCAGCATCACTTAGAAATGTGCACTCAGATAATATTATTCCCAAGAGAGTCTAAAAAAACATTACAGATGTCGTAGGATGCTGAAAAATGGCCCAATTTTGTTCGGAGGGCTCCAAGATGTCTGTGATTTAACCAAATGAGCTCAAGTGGTGGAGAAAAAAAAAAAAAAGATTTGATTGGTTAAACAAGGAGAACTAGGATTCTATCTATGCTGGTACAAACCCCAAAAAACAAAAAAATATGTTATTTCACCACAGCAGATAATACACAATGTCAGGCTCTCTGACAGTCTTAACACAGATTATATAGGAAACTGTTCATCCTAAAGTTTCCAGGCTGCATATGTCAATTATTCCGGCTACCCTCCAACTACTTTAGAAAAGTTATTAAAAGACTTCTCTGGGATTTGTTTCAGAACAAAATAGGGATTTGTTTGAACAGAACAATACAAATACTTGGAATTGAGACTTTGCAACATGTCATGATTATAGCCCAGTATAGATTGAAGTTCTCACCAAATAATCCCTCCGTAAAAGAGAGAGAAGATGAAATAGAAAGCGATTGAGCCCCACGTCACAAAATGGTTCATCCAGGTCCAAAACTGCGTCTCTAATGCCAGCTGCAAAATGGAGAAAAGTAAAAGTCAAGTTAAAAAATTGATGAAGGAACCGCCGGGGCACCCATAAACTCTGGCAATCTGCTTCTGTGCTATAAAAGAGACCTGAGCAGTTAATGCTCACTGACATCATCCTCCTCTCCACATACTTCATTACAAATGACCCGTCTGTCTCGACAGACCAAACCAGGTTAAACTAAGGCTAACTAAGGGTTTTAAACTGACTTTCAATAAGCATATTTGCTGGAGAAATTCTATTTTTAAACACTTAGCTGCTTATCTGCACATATTGATGAGAAACCTGTCTGTTAGAGGATCTTGAGTCAGCACTATACAACACTGTGCTGTGTGATATTTTGCAAATTTAGGGAAAATATGGACAGCCCCTCCAGATAGGAAATAATAATGAAAGAAATAGGAGTCTGGATTAAGTTAGTAAAGATGCAGAGAAGTAAAAAGAATAAAGAATATTTTTAAACTGTTGATCTCTGCAACATGTTCCCAGGTGTGTGATGCATTCTGGGATGATGCAGAATGTTTTATTTTTTGTGGGAGTTTTTTGAGGGGCATTATGACTCATGAACCCATTCAGTTTACTCCTTGGATAAATAGATAATAGAACTATAAGAAAATTACATTCTCAATATTGGTACTAGTTTAAAAGGCAGCATCTGCTTCCAGTGTTTACATTCTCTTCTCACCTCATTCAAATCTGACCAACTGACTGAAGCCTACTCTGTGGTTTTTTTAGCCACAGATTTTTTTTATTTTTTTTTGGCTTGGAAAAGAAACCGAACCACCAGATAACGTTTCAATGAACTGATCTGGACCAAACTACACAAACTCTGTGTTTAGACTCTATGTTTACTACTTAAAGCAAAGCATTTGGGAAATTAACTGTCTTTGAAACTAGGGTTAATTATCTCGACAGCAATAATACAAATAATTCCTAAATTTCTTTAATTTTAAGGTTCTTTAATATTTACCTTTAAAGTCACAGTGATGACCATCACAGTAAAGACGAGTGTTCCAAACGTCCAGTTCCCAAACATCTGGAAGAACAGACAAGGATTATCTAAAGCTGCAGTTCATCATTAGCTTACCAGACTTTATGATGAGAAAGAAGCTCAGCCAACATGCACAGTCTTAGTAGAATATCTGATAGGGTTAAAAGCTTTTTTTATTATTTTAATCACCTAGATATTTATATCATGGATGAAAAAAAAATGTCAGGTGCAGTTACTTCAACTTAAGGTATTATTTTAGGAAAAATCAAGAGTGTGGTGTCGTGACAGGGAGGAAAATATGAGCAGATTCATGCTTATATTAGCAGATTTGCAGGAATGAAGGATCTTATTAAAGGCAGCAGGCCTGGTTGAGAAAGTTGTCTGTTGTTTTGCATCTGTTGTTTGTATGTTTAGTGACTTTATGTAAAGGCAAGACATTATCAAGTTGAAAGAAATTAATTCACTATTTCTACTCTACAATTTAATATTGGTATAAAACTGTTCTGTGAAGACCTGAGAAGTTAGTTGGAGAACATTGGTGAAAAATCACTATCACAGACACTGAGGAACAAGCAGACAGATCTGAGATACAACTGTGGAGAAGTCAAAGCATAGTTAGGTTTCTTTAGGAGCCTATTTTAAATTTTGTATTTTTTTTTTTCAAGGTCATTATTTGTCATTATGGGGCTATGATTGATGTAACATGCAGTCACAGGTATACAGTTAACTAAGAATGATTTAAAAGAATTGATGAGTGTTTTTGTCATTATCTTTATCACAATGGTATTAAAAAATATCCTGATGAGATTTTAAGCCCATATCACCCCACCCTACTACATAGGAGACCTTTTAGATTAAAGCATATCTTAAAATGGGCCCACAGTAAGCATTACGACTTTTAAAGTCATGTTTATACATTTCCTTCACTGCATCTGACTGAGAATAACCCAATATGTAATCCACAAAGCCAGTAAAGAAATATTCCTAAAAATGTTCAGATGCCGTGGTATTTTATTCCAAGAAACATTAAAAACCATTTGCCACTTTCCATCTGCTTTGCAATAACACACTGCTTTGTGTGGCTCTATGACAAACATCTTACTGAACAAGCTTTTTTTTTTTTAAAAAAAGAGGGCTTTATACAACAAAATGACTACAAAAAAAGAAAGATAGCTGCTTGGCATAGAAATCTATCTGAACCCATATTGGAGAAAATTGTTAAGAATAGACAGGATGCTGATGAATCCTCATGAGTACTCATATTAACCTCCCAAGGACATGCATTCAACTATAGAGCAGACTCTTACCAGCTGCCTGTTAGCTCGCAACATCTGAAGACATGCACAGCGTGAAGGCAGAAGGAAAACGCATAATCAACCAAAGATGGAAGGAAAGACAACCAAACGAGAGTAATCAAAGTGAGTGCATTCAGAAACAGCAAACTACCAACTAAAATAAAGATGGAAAGATATGATGCAGGAATAAAGAGAGAATGAAAGAACTGTCTAATAAAAAAAAAGACAATCTAGAGATAGAAAACAGCAACATCAAGGGAATGGTACTGAAATAGCAGCAGGTTGTCTCTACCTTCAATAATAATATCAATACCACTGAGAGGACACAAACACAAACATCTAAAATCAACTCAATATCAGGGCTTTATGGCTTGAACTACTGTTTTCTAGCTTCATAAATACAATTCTTATACATGAAGTTTCTAAAGAATTCTTTTTCCCCACATGCTCTGACAAACAGACCTGTCCATTGCCCATGAGTGTGGTGTCCTCCCCCATCAGTATGTAGGACCCAAAGAAAAACACAAAGGCATGACTGAAGCCCAACACAGTCCAGTACAGGAACGTCCGGAAGGACAGCAGAGAGTTTTTGCTGATATCTCTGTGGAAAACACAAAGAGTTTAATTTCTGAAATTCAATCTCTTTAATGAATCCTAATTCTAGGTCCTAACTAGCTTTATTTTGGTCCTTTATGACATTCATTCATTTTCAGATAAATAAAAAACTGCTGATCATTTCCTAGCAGTGAATACTACATTATAGTGTAGACCAGGACTTGACACAGGGCCTTACCTGTACAGGCACGGTTTACTCTGCAGGATGTCAGGATGGACCAGCTGCTCAAACAGACTATACACAAGGATGGGCAGCGAGGTGAAGCAGATGTTGTACAGCGTCAGGTAAACACTGTCATACAGAGTCTGGATTGGACAGAGAGCATTTCAACAGAAAATCATTAGCTGAGAGTTTTGGCTCCAACTCTTCACAATAGGTTTTACTAACAACAGAATTTAGAGCTGAACAGTTAGTAAGATGCCCACTGAGTAACACACATTGTATGTGGGAACAGGGAATTATGAGAATAACAGCTTATGGTTAGTGTTTTTATTCTAGCTTTCTAAAAGAATATTGTATTAGTCAAGTAAGCTACTGAAAGACAATTGTAAAAGTATTAACAGACTTTAAAGAAAGGGAATACATCTTGGAGGGGCAGTAAAATGCTCTGACTTTAGACACTCTAAATTAAGGAAAATACACTAGATATGAACAGACGTTCTATAAAAAGTATGTCCTTTTAGGAAATAAAGTAAAATATTCAAAACCAGAAGCAAAACCTTTACATAAACAAAACAGGAAAAAGGATATTTAAATTAGACTTACTTGTTGTGAAAACAAGCAGAAGAACTGGTATAAAAACTGTGGCGTAATAAAACACACATTCTAGATGAAACGGAAAGACAAAAAAAATGCTTAAACATGACAGCGTGAGAACAGATAGATTATTATACAGTACACAACTTATGCTTTAGTTCCAAAACACCATGAGTCAAAGTAATTGTTCTTGGAAAAGCTGCAGAGGGGAAAACATTGTCGGTCAATGGAGACATATCCTACCTTGTAGAAAAAGTACTGTACAAGAGTAGCTATTCGAATGTAGTAGAAGTGACCATGGACCAACAGTAGTTTAGCCAGGAATTTAAACCTAGCAATTGCATAGTCACTGTTTCTCACGGCCTGTCGACCTTCCTTCCCCATGATGCCTGGTGATCCAACCATAAATGCACAGTTCAGACAACCAATCAGAAGAGTTGCACGGTTTCAAGTTGTATTACTGAAGATTATGTGAGCCTTTACCTATGCCCACATGAGCTTCTTGTATCATGCTGACATCATTTGCTCCATCCCCGATAGCTAATGTTATTGGCTTTTCTGGGGAGGTCTTTAGCAAACGGACCACCTGGAAAAAAAAACAGAAACAATAAACACTTAACATCTAAAAAAAAAAAAATAAAAAAATAAAAAAAAATAAATGATGCTTTGATTCTGAACATTTCCTTAAAATTACCAAAACAAACTGATCTGTTAAATTGGATGGATGGCCATCATCAAGAAATAACCAATTCTAATAGTGAGCTCGGCACCTGTTCAAAAGAGCAACCTCTTAACCGCAACATCTTTTTCTCTTCAGCAACAAGTGCCTCTGGAAAACAAACTCACTAATTTAACCCTGCAGAGCATTTGAAAAAAAAAAACACTAACCTGTAGCAAAGGTGGAGAAGGTGAGACTGTGCAATAGTTTAAATGTCTGACCAAGATGTGATAATCTAGAGCAGAAGGTTGTCTACTAATGTGACATACAGCAAAGAGCAGTAGGCGTTTACCTTTGCTTTCTGAAGAGGAGCCATACGGCAGCAGAGCACGGCTGAGCAGTTTTTACACACTTCCATAAACAGTTTCTCATGTTCCCTCAAGGCTAAAGACAGACTAGCTCCATCTACAACCAAGCCGTGCTGAATAACATGGTCTTCTTTTATCCTGCGAACAAAAAAAGAAAAAGATGAAGACAATCACACAAACACACAAGGAAGAGAACTATGAAAAGATATACTAGTATGTTGGATTCTACAATTCACTATCAGCTAATATTTGACTCAGTTGTTGAGTCAGAGAGTTGCATTGCTTTTCATTAGTTATTTGAACCCTGTATCACTGAGGAGTCAAAGCTTGCAGTAGTTTATGCTCAGCTTCTTAGTTCCACTTTACCACCAACTCCAATAAAATCCCAAACAGAAGCATGAAATAAGTGCTTTCATTGTAAAATGGTTTTGTTATCATTTTTCATTAATTGAACACAGACTCATGCTCCCGTGTGTATTATGATTTATAAAAATAATACAAGCATCTGTTTTGATCGGCTTCAGAGCGTGGATGCATTAAGAAGCAAAAAAAAAAAGAGTATGAGTATGGTTCCCACCTCCGGGCCAGTCTGCGTAGCTGCTCTGCACACTCATTATCGGAGCGCTGCTGCAGAAGCTCCAAGATGTTCATGGTCCTGTGAAAGTGGCCACATGACAGGCTGACGCTGACTGCCGTCTCGTGTTTGTCTCCTGTCAACACCCACACTTTGATTCCTGCCAGGCGCAAAGCTTCGATTGTCTCCTGAACTTTGTCTTGAAGTCTGTGGAGCACAAGGGAGACTGTGTTCAGTGAAAATATGTTATGTTCTTAAAGGCCAAGTGAGAAATAAATTATTATAATAAATGAGTGTTAAGAAGAAGAACGCCTCATTGTTTGGATTGCTCACATTTCCAGCCTACAAAAGATGCATCATACTTCCGAACACGGAAGTATGATGCATCTTTCTTGAGGGAATAAGGGCCGTTCCAATGATTTGCAATGACTGTTCATATCAAAAACAGCTTTTTTAAAATATTAGACTGAGAACTGAAGAGAATATTAGTCATGACTTTCATAACAGAGGCGACCCTTTAATCATGACCATGTGTGGCCCTGGGAGCAACTCATTTCAGAAGCACAAATGGAGCAAAGCAGAGAGGAGAGAGCATGGAGAGATAAACAAAGTGTGAGAAACTGAGGCTTAGGAGCAGATGGTGAGTGGATGCCAGGACACAAAGCAACAGCTCGATCCAGACAGACTCATATTGGTGACGTCTGTAATTCTCTGTGGACTAAAAACTATAAAGTATATTATTATGGTGGCTTTCAGCAGCCATCTATATCAAGGGTCTTCAATTTCAGTCCTTGAGGTCCAGTTTCTGGACTCTTTTACATGTGGTTTTGCAGCAACACGCTAGAGTCAAATAATTAGGTCATTAGCAGGACTCTGGAGATCCTGGCTGCATATTGAAGAAGTAATTCAAAACTCTGATTTAGGTATGGAAGCAAAGATGCCAGGATGCCAGACATCAAGAACTTGAACTAAAGAACTGTGGTTTATCCTCAATTAGTTGTAATAGAGTGGACAAAAATTACACTTTGAGTTTTTAAATGTGGATTTGGTTACAAGTCAGATGAAAAGAGAAAACTACACAAGTAATAACAGAAAGCAAAACTTAAAAGCAATGTAATAAAAAATGCCATTGGTGCGAGACCAGGAAAACATATCCTAACTGTACAGTAGAAGTATATGAATGACTAAAAAAATACATTTTATATCCCTTAACTAATATATGTCCAGTGTTCCAAATTACATGACAATGATGAACAATTAAAATGTCTAACTTCTCTGTAAGATCCGCGTTTTTACCAATGCGTTATTTTAAAGTGTGCTTTAATGATGATTTATAAGATATAGATTGTACAAAACTTTGAAATTAATGTTTTTAAATTAAAAGCCTCATAAAATACACAGTCTTACCAAGTGAAATAAGATTTTCATTGTACTTTAATTTTTAAATAAAAAATCCCGTAAAGATCAATTCACAAATCAATGAACCAATGGTCTGCAAAGAAGTCTGGAAAAGAAGTACCAACTGATTGTTAGAAGTTGGCATCCAGCACTAATATACTATTAATGTGTTTCCAAACAATTTATCTGACTTTTTTATATTCAAATAAACTAAATCATTGTATATACTGTTTATTATGGCTTCAACTTATTTAATTAATTAAATGAATCATCACTGCATTCAAATAACTTATTGCTTATTATTTCTTTGAGATGAGTTGTCATTACTTCCATATGAACTATTTATATGAAGGAAAATTAGAATGGAAATTTATGTTAATGTTTTTCATACTTGTCTTCCACCCCGGTTGCTCCCAGGAGCTGCAGATCTCTTTCGATGTAGGCAAAAGCTTCCTGTAGTTTCTCCTCCCTCTGCTGCAGAGCCGTGCGAGCAGAAGTCAGGCGCTTGTCCACATCGATGTACTCTTCTGGACTGAAGTGGCGACATGCTACAACGAGGGTACGCAAACCTTTCTACATTGGAACAAAGAGATGGAAGATGAAAGGTTATATAAAAATAGGGACGAGGGAGTAAATATAAATACATGTAGAAAATAAACTTCTCTAAACCATAAAGCAGGACAATAATGTTGCTCTTTAAAAGAATAATATTAAATAAAGGGGATGTGGATTAGAGATGAAAGGATGTATAAAGGAAGGCAAAAACAACAAAAATATTAAATGAAAAATATCACAGATTGGGTTTAATTCCTTAAAGTGGCCTTAAGGCGTGATGACCACATAAAGCCCAGACAAGAGCAGCAATTCTGGGGTCGAATATCTGACGATATGATGTGGAAGGAGGACTGCTTGTGTGTGGGCATAAAGAGCAACAGAGCATGGCGTAATCACTGCATCATTCCTAAATGCCAGGCTTACGCACAGAAACAACAGATGCATGAATCAAAGAAACACATCTACTAAAATGCTATTTTTACGATCTTAAAAAAAAAAAAGATAATTTAAATGTCAGTATTTTAGCTATGCTTGAATAAGCTTTTGAAATGTCTAAATTTTCACAAAATATGGCATAGGCCATGTTATACTGTATTGTTCTTAAACTGCAATGATATGCATATTCATGGAAACGATGTGGAGTTGCATCCCATTTGTTGCTAAAACCAAGAATTTTAATTTCTCACCAAGGCAAATTCGTCCACATGTAATCTTGTTTTTTCAATCTCTCCATCAGTGCTGAAAGGCAAGATTGCAGACTCAGCACCTTTTGTGAAAAGCACTTTTCCTCCTTCAGGGGAAAAAGAAAAAAAAAAGACATTAGTATCCTTTATTACAATTTCCTGTATTCCAAATGGGTTCATCCCAACGCTATTGTAGATTTTTTTATGTTTTTGGCAGCATGATAAACACAGTGTGCTGCTGAAGCGGATAATGTTACCTGAGGGAGTCTGCAGTATGACGCTCATCCTCCTACGGTTTGGGTCAAACTCTAAGACATGGAGCAGTTTATACCTGCAGGTTAAGGAAAAATCCTGTTGACAATTTCTGGAAAATTAAATAGCTAATTTCATTCTAAACATAAAGAATTTAGTTTCACACTCTGGTTTGTATATCTGCACTGCATACTCAATTGTTTGGGTATGTTTTTACATCTACATAATGTATGAAAAACTAATGAAATTTGATTGAATTGGAAAAAAAGAAACAGTTTAATAAGTGGTATGATTTAATTTGAATTTTACACAAAAGACATTGGTGCCACTTCTTGGCTGCTCAATTCATTAACTTGTTGTTGAATTTGACCCATTTAAAATTAGCTGGATGTTTCCAAACACTGACTTACTTCTCAGATTTCCCATAAGTTTTGATTTCCATGGTATCTCCACTGCTGCCTGTGAAAGCCACTCCAATTCTGAAGAGAAAGGAATAAACTACAACATTAGAACTCTTAGCAGAGATAAATAGTTGAGCTTCTAATGTTGCACAACCATTTAATCGTGTGCTAGCTTTCTGATAAGGCTTTTTGGTTCTTTGATATTAATCTGTTACACAGAATGCTGCTTCCTTAAGGGTTATTAGAATTTAAAGGGGTCATAGAATGGTTATCTAGGCTATTTGGTGCTGGTCCTTAAATTTTCTGTATAGGGTGTGTAACATTGGTGGGGCTGAAAATGGCATATTTTTCGTTCTATGAGCCCTAATGCAAGCCTGATTATAAGCCCCAGAATGAAACGACTTTTTTTCTTCCTTTTATGGTATGCTCATGAATATTTAGATGAGTTGTGTGCTGATTGGTTGGTTTACAACGAGCGAAGCTACCGAGCAAAGACTCATCATAGCAAAAAGCACTCACTCATTGAAAAAAATCCAATTGTTTATAAGGTAGAGTGACCAGACGTTCTCTTTTTCCTGGACATGTCCTACTTTTCATACCTAAAAAAATGTCTGGGATTTTGGTCAACTATAGTGCAGCACGTAGTCGAATCACACCGGGCACTTGAACCGAGCCGTGAGCTCTGGGGCTGGTCCGGGAACCAGGGCGGACGGGGGCAGGGAGCCAACGGGGACAGAGCAACCAAACCCGATCTGACATCGGCGGCCCCGTGCACGGTAAGGCAGGCCTTTACTGTAGTATTTCATGAAAATTACAATAAATATCAGTATAACTACTACCATTACTAGTCAGCATTTACAACTATCTGACAAGAACTTTGAAGTTTTGGAGTGGCTCAGCCAGTTCTATGATCCATGTTTGGGTGTATTCTAAAGTTAAGGATGACAACAAAGAGACCGTCTCAAAAATCTTGGGGGAATCATATAGTTTTGCATGTATTGCATGGGAGATTGTCCATGCAATACATTTTCAAAACAATAGTAAAAACATGCTAGTTTGCAGTTGTCAGACAGATTTGATTAAAAATAATAAATATTTTTCTATTGAGGACTGAGAAGGATAACAATTATTTCTCATTTCTCACAAAGTAAACAAAGTAAGTAAGTAAACTGAACTGATGGGGCACCATTTAAAAACATGATTTATGCCTCCACCTGAGCAACCTGTCGAACTCCACAAAAGGTCTCCAAGTACTCCAGAAACTGTAATTATTATCCGTGTTAAATTTCTGACACCAACATGAACAAGTTACTAGGCACCAGGCTGTCATAAAAAGCCCAGACTCTGCTTCTATCTGGCTATAAAACTCTGCAGCAATGTTTGGCATGAAGTTAAAAATTTGGATCCATATACATTTGATATAGTAATAGATAGATAATATGACCTACTGCTTCACCTAAAGTAAAACCACCACAGATTCTAAATTAAGATTAGTATAAACAGCATGACTCTCTTATTTAACAGTATTTTTTCTTGGATTTTGGAGCCTTTCCAAAGGACTTCTAAATAGGATTACCCTGTTCATTTTAATCCAATAAACCAACACAGTCTAAAGTTTCACCAAAGTAATAAAATACAAAGAGAGGATACATTTGTAAGTTTCAGGGCCTTGGGCAATTAGAAGGACAAAGATGGAGTAAAAAGTTTTAAAGTCATAATACTATACCTCTTTGTTGCCTCTACCAAAGCTTTCTCATCTGGTGAGGAGGCGTAGTACTCCATGTGATTAGAGGAGTAACCATTGGCGTGGGAGAACGGGTCCCCTCCTAGCAGGGAATCTGGCTGGTCATAGCTGATTTGAACGGTGTGACACAGTGACACGGCCTTGAGGAATAATAATTCATCACCTATCTGTGATGAGAAACAAAATAAGGAGGATGTACAGATGAAGCATTTAAAGATTTTATTCTAAAAACTATGTGGAGGGATAAAAAATTATTTTGTGTTGCAGTCCATGCAGATTAAAAACATGGGGAATAAACAAAAATTCTATATAAACCAGTAAACTGAGCAAATTTTAAAACCGAACCTATATTTAGAAATAAATTATTTCTCAAACGCATAGAGGGGCAATGAGATCCTAATTAAAAACACTGTGTTCACCATTTTATAGAAATGAGCCTTCAAGCATCAGTATTTACACCTTCCTGTGGCAAAAAAACAGGTTGATAACTATTAGCACATGTATAGCCAGTTTATATAATTAGCTGCAGCTTTTCTAGTTATAAAGTCATCAATTAACATGTCAATAGGTCTGGGATTACTTTAAGACCACAGCTCAGCTTATTATGTTCAGGCTTTTTATTTTCATAGAATAAACCTTAACATTTTTACATAAACTGAAGTCAGTTTTTTTTATAATTATAATGTTTTCTATTTGTGTTATGTAATATCATTTTTAACTGTCAATAAATCATCGGCTTTAAAATAATTAAAGCTTGAAAACATTACTATGAATGTAATTAATCTTTAAAATCGGTTTTACTTAGTGAATTAAGTTCCTGAATTAAGCAAACCTTTTAATAATATTCCAATCCATTGAATAGGATGCTATATTAAAACAAAGCAAATGATACTTTGTACTTTAACACAGGACAGTGGAAATCTTAGACTGGACAGAAGTTTTCATATAAAAGTAAATGTTGGTTTTCTGAATTACCAGACGAGGTGAAGAACCATCTGGTGAATCATCAGTCATCCCCTCTGGTACCAGTTTGCCATTCATTTCCCGATACTTGATGCCATTTATTGAACACTCGCGGAACTGCATTTCATTTTCTGTTAGCGTACCGGTCTTGTCTGTAAACACATACTCAACCTATGAAATAAAAACAACAAACACGCATGGGAAAACAGTTAAAGGCAGCTTGGAACAAAAACAGAGCATTAACAGTTTCTATTTAGAAATAGTTATTATTCTGCATGTGTAAATAAAATCATATCTTTATTACAGAAAAGATTTTTCAATTAGATATCAGGCTGAAGCCACCATTGGGAATCTTTCATTATAACTGAGGAAGACTATTCTGGAGCTCAATAAAGGAACAACTAAGAGGCTCCAGTAGAGCATCAGGATAAGTGGAAAAAATAATTGCGCCTTTTCTTTTTCTATTGGACTTCCTGGAAAACCTCAGATACTGCCATAATGGCTAGCAATGTTAGTTATTTAACTTGCACACAAACTTTATATGACAAATTTTTAACATTTTCTGCAAACTTTCTTAGTTCTGCAACATTTGGCCAAATAAGGTCTTTACTCTGCCTGCTATAGGTAGAGATATTGAAACTGCGGCCCAATTTTCCTAATGGTTCAAACAATACATTGTTGTGTTTATATCATAGCCCCACTTTTGGGTAAAATAATATTTCTCAGTTTTAAACAGTGTGAAAATTGTGCTCCAGTTTCTCTCTTGTGAATACTCACATTCATTTTTTGTACATAGCCACTGTTACAAACATAACAATGACAATGGTTTTACTAGATATTTTGAATTGTGACTTCAAATGGAACGCATCATAACAGCATGTCACTCGGACACATACCACCATGACCAGCCAGGAGGTAGGACTGAGAGAATAGTGATCATTTATAAATAGCATTTTTTTGTGAGCATTTTATTACTCAGTCAGCAAAAAAGTAACAAGGTTATTACTTAGAAAATATTTACATGTGGCTGATCTCAAAATGAAGATATGGTGATCAAATCAAAAAACAAAACTTCAGAACGGAAACATCCATAATCATTTATATAAAAATTCTAATTGCATTTCATTTTCAGTCATGTTCCTCACCTGCCCCAACTCTTCATTGAGATCTGAAGTGTTGACCTGAGCTTTCTGGTCGCTCTCCTCATGGTAAAGGTCTAAATCCCAACCAATGAAGAAGGAGCCCAGAAACTTCTGCATCTCCACAGTAACGTACAGTGAGATCGGGATGATAAAGTTGTAGAGCACCAGGAATGCCAAGAAGTCTGATATGAACTTAAGGATCTGATGGAGAATAAGAGAAAAAGAAATGGCCATATGTTAACAAAAACATGACAAAGAGGAAAGAATTAAAGAAAGAAATCAAAAGAGCCAAGACTAGATTATATAAATCCCTGCCACATAGAGTGATACAACTAAAGCACTGATCCTCCTAAATAAAAGCAGGCCGGGTAATCCATTCCTATTAGGAAGGTAATTACTGCATGTGACAAGAAAGGAGAAGCAAAGAGAGACAACAGCAAATGAGACAACAGTGTTAATAGTTTGTTCTATAGTACTGTATGTTTGAACTGATAGGAAACTGTGAAAAACAAAGTAAAAAATAAAAAATCATAACTATTTCCTGAACTGAGACAAAAAATATCCACCACTGTAGACATTTTTAGTAGTTCATAATTTCAAAAACTGTCTACAAGCATTGTTTAAAAGTTCGCGCTCTGCTAAGTAAGGATGCAGAGACTGAGTGATAGAGCAGACAGACAGGTGGACATGCCAATGATCAGTGCTACTGATAGGCACTCCTTTTTATACCTCATCACAAAATCTTCTGCAGCGTTGGTGTATACCTGTAGGTTTGATCATTATCCTATAATTAACAACGCACTCTCTCTGGAGAAGAAAACTGGTCTGTTGTGTTTTGGTGACATTCAAGAAGAAAATGTACAAATTTAAACTGAAAAATTAAACTGCAAAATAAATATGCATTTTTAAAGCTTAACAGCAAAAAAGTTACAAAAAAAACATCTGTTAAGTAACTCAAAGCAGACTAACCGGACTGCTGTTTTTCTCTTGCTCAGTCTTCTGATTGTAGAAAGGCTCATCCCATTTCTCTTCAGCCTGCCAGGCATACTTCAGAATAGTGCTGAGGATCGCCTCAAACAGCAAAATGGCCAGGTAGATTATCAGGAAGGTATTCATGGACCTGGCAGAAAACGACAACATGAAAAAGGAATGTTTAAAAAGCACCACCTCCAAATGAGAAGTCTGTTTTCTTCCCTCATGCTACATTCACACCAAACGCAGTAAGAGCAGCAAAAACGTGTCTGCTGCTTCATTTTTTATGCTTGTACAAGTTTAGATCTGACACGCAGCAGGAGCAGCTAGTTTACATGCAAAGTCAATGGTTGACGCGCCTCAAGGCGCAGCAAAATGTCCCGCAGCGTGTTTTGAGCAGCAGGAGCAGCGCGTTTTGAGCAGCAGGAGC